CTGTTAATGTTATATTTTGAGTTTATAGGTAATATTAATATTTAACTAATTATAAAGCTTGATGAAATGGTACAATGTTGTAGAGTATTTTTTGAAAAACATTTATATATTGGAATATTTTGGTATATAAAACATGAGTAGCACGATTTTGCAAAATTAACAAAAATATTTTGCATACCATAAAACAAATAACAAATCTTCTTTTGCAAACTGGATAACACATGCAACCATTTGATGTATTTTTCAATATATATTTAAAAATACGAAGAATTAGTACAATATTGCACGGTAATTTTTCAAATTATTTATATTTTTCTAATACGAAATGGTGAAAAGGTTATTAAAATCGAGTACCAAATAAAAAAGTTAACAAAAACTACTCTTGAAGCATAATCATAAATTCATTTAACTCTGTTAGAGGTATTTGTTTCTGTTATATTTTGAGTTTATAGGTAATATTAATATTTAATTATTTATACAATTTGATGAAATGGTACAATGTTGTAGAGTATATTTTGAGAATTATATGTATATTAGAATATTTTGGTATATAGAACATGAGTAGCACGATTTTGCAAAATTAACAAAAATATTTTGCATACCATAAAACAAAAAACAAATCTTCTTTTGCTAACTGCATAACGCATGCAACCATTTGATGTATTTTAAAATATACATTTAAAAATACTAAGAAGTAGTACAATGTTGCACGGTCATTTTTCAAATTATTTATATTTTTCTAATACGAATTGATGAAAAAGTTATTAAAATCGAGTACCAAATAAAAAAGTTAACAAAAACTACTTTTGAAGCATAATCATAAATTCATTTAACTCTGTTAGAGGTATTTTTTACTGTTATATTTTGAGTTTATAGGTAATATTAATATTTAATTAATTATAAATTTGATAAAATGGTACAATGTTGAAGAGTATTTTATGAAAAACATATATATATTGGAATATTTTGGTATATAAAACATGAGTAGCACGATTTTGCAAAATTAACAAAAATATTTTGCGTACAAAAAACAAATCTTCTTTTGCAAACTGGATAACACATGCAATCATTTGATGTGTTTTTCAATATATATTTAAAAATACTAAGAAGTAGTACAATGTTGCACGGTAATTTTTCAAATTATTTATTTTTTTCTAATACAAATTGATGAAAAGGTTATTAAAATCGTGTACCAAATAAAAAAGTTAACAAAAACTACTTTTGAAGAATAATCATAAATTCATTTAACTCTGTTGGAGATATTTGTTACTGTTATATTTTGAGTTTATAGGTAATATTAATATTTAATTAATTATACAATTTGATGAAATGGTGCATTGTAGAGTATATTTTGAGAAACATATATGAATTGGAATATTTTGGTACATAAAACATGAGTAGCATGATTTTGCAGAATTAACAAAAATATTTTGCATACCATAAAACAAAAAACAAATCTTCTTTTGCAAACTGCATAACACATGCAATCATTTGATGTATATTTCAATATATATTTAAAAATTCTAAGAAGTAGTAAAATATTGCACGTTAATTTTTGAAATTATTTATATATTTATACTTTTTATGTAAATTGATGAAAAGGTTTTTTAAATAGAGTACCAAATAAAAAATTAACAAAAACTACTTTTGAAGCATAATCATGAATTTCTTTAACTCTGCTGGAGGTATTTGTTAATGTTATATTTTGAGCTCATAGGTAATGTTCACACGTTTAATTATTATTATTGTAAAATTGTATTATTATTGTTATTGTACAATATCAAGATTTACACATTTAATTAGTATAAATATATTTATCTATATATAAAACATTTATTGTAAAATTTGAACATATATACTGACGTTAGCAATATCCAAACTTTGGCTTTCCTTTGCATTATTTAATTTGGTAAAATGCAGTGGCACTGAACTTGAAAATTTGCATTTTTTTGTTAAGTGCAGTGACACAAAACTTTGAATATGTAACATATATCAAGGCCAGTGCACTGGCATTAATTCTTGCTTGCTAGACACAACAAAGAATTTGGTTGCATAATATATGCTGAGCTTGTACTTTGGGCAAGAAAACGGTAAAGGAAAAGAATAAAATCTAGATATTGTTGTTGTAATAATTTGTAATAATTTAGTATTTAAGGCAAAATTTAATTTAATACAAATCAGATTGAAATCAATATTCGATCTCTTTAATTCAAAATTTTAGAGTTTCAGTTCAAGTGCTGGAAACTCAGCTTTACAATCAGGAGTTACAGTTTAAGTGCTGTCAACTCATTTTCTTAAGTGTTATTTCATTAACATTTAATTTGGTGACCCCGACGTGATTATCAGGTGAATCGCTTGATAATTCATCACGAATTTGACTTAAAGGTGTCCTACGATCACATCAACAGAGGCTTTGGTGTCAGCATCAAAAGAGGACAATGAACACGAATTTGGCGTAAAGGTGTCCTACGATCACGTCAATACAGGCTTTGGTGTCAGCATCAACAGAGGACAAATAAAACATTTTTAGTTTCACAAGGTGTGAAATTGGCTGTTAATCAACAAATCAACTAACTGGATAATGGGTTTCAGTTCGCTAGTGGATCGCCAAAAGGCATTGAGCGACAAAATCAAACAATTTATTGGTAATTGCAAAAAGGCTGGAAAACCTCGCAGAACTTTTCAATTCTATACACACAAGATTCAAGAATTGCAAAGGTTGGGGACGAATATCATGAAAATCATCAGGAAATCATGGCTTCAGTGGACAAGGTTGACGACCATGAATACTTGGTGAACAAAGAGTATTAGAGCATTCTTAAAATGATTGTCGATTACAACAAGGTTCTAGAAATTGAAGCAATAGAGCTAGAAAAATTATCTTCAGCACGCAATGGCACATCAATTGAGCAAAATAATCAGATAAATGATTCAAACATTCGGAAACTATTCCGAAATCAGAAGGCACTCGTACGTGTAATTGAAAGAACGATAGAAGGAATCATGGTCAACAGGCAAGTTGAACAATCATCTACATACTATTCTATAAAGGCAGCCAGTCTTGAAGGATATATGGTCGATTTTACGGCAAATAACACACCGTTATGGGAAGCTACCGACGAAAGCATCATTGAGGACTACACACTGGAAATGTTTTATGAACTCGAGGAAAAGGCAGGAGCTGCCATGATCGAACTGCAGCAACATTTGCATAATAATCAGACAATTCGCAACTCAAGACAGACAGATTGCGAATTGCCTCTACCAAGAATATCACTACCAAAATTTGATGGAAACTATATGCGGTGGGTGGAATTCAAGGACTTGTATATGGAATTGGTCCACAACATGGACACCAGTGACAGCAAAAAAATGCATTATCTGACTACATCATTGGATAACGAGCCAAAGGGGCTAATTAGACATCTTCCAGTAGTAAGAGAAAATTACAATATAATCTGGACTTTACTTACAAGTCGTTATGAAAATAAACGACTTCTGGTTACAACACTTCTAAATAAATTAATGGGACAATCCTCCATTAAAAGGGAGTCGGCACCAGCATTAAAATCTCTACACGATGTAAGCAAGGAATGCATACATGGTCTCAAGGCTCAAGGAGTTCCAGTCGAACATTGGGATGTTATACTGGTACATCTATTGCTGCGCAAGCTGGATGCAGAAACTCTAACAGCTTTCGAACAAGGGCTAACAGACAACAAACGTTTAATAACCATTGATGAATTGCTAAAATTTTTGGAACATAGATTTCAATCACTTGAGGCTAGGGGAAAAGGAGATTCATCAGTCACTCGAACGTGTGCTTCAGCTACAAAATTTGGTTTAAGTAAAACCTGTCCAATTTGCAATAAAGACGGTCACATGGTCTACGCTTGCAAAAAATTCGAGACGGCTAATCTATCACAACGATGGAATTGGGTTAAGGAGTTCAATTTGTGTGTGAACTGCCTCAGGATTGGACATCGAGTTGATGAGTGTAAATTCAGGCACTGCACTAAATGTTCTAAAAAACATAACACTTTGATGCATAATCCAAAGGGGAATCAATACACAAAAGGTACTGTTCTTCAAGGAAATAACTCAACGCCTCAACAAACAGCTCAAGCTTCAGTTTCAAACCAATCATCAAATAAAATAACCCTTTTAACAAACAATACCAATAACGAATCTAATTATGCCTTATTAGGGACGGCCAGAATAAGATTGCTGGCATCAAACGGAAGACAAATTGAATGCAGAGCAGTATTGGACTCTGGATCTCAAATCAATCTCATAACAAACCGCCTGTCAAAAAAATTGGGCTGCAAGCCTAAGCCAACGCTTATGAGTGTGGAAGGCGTAGGAGCAAATGAATCAAAAATACGTCATCAAACAATAATCCGAGTACAATCAACGTTGAACGAATTTGTAGCAGAGATGGATGCACATATCATACCAAAAATCGTTTCAGATCAGCCAATGCAGTATTTGAATATCGAATTCTGGGATATTCCAAAGAAATTAACTCTCGCTGATCAAGATTTTAACAAACCTGGCCGAATAGATTGCCTGTTAGGAGCAGAGATCTTTTTCAAGTTACTTATTGAAGGTCAAATAAAACTAGCAGGTAGTCTTCCAACACTTCAGAATTCTATTTTTGGATGGGTTTTAGCTGGCAATGTTGAAACTTTAAATTCAAGCACGGCAACTTGTGGCATATGCACTACTAAGGAACTAGAAGAATCTATATTGAAATTCTGGGAATCAGAGGAAATTCCAGATTCAACTTCGGAACTCACAGAAGACGAATTGCGTCTTCAGTACACAAATTATGAGGGCCATCACTAAATGACATAATGTTTAATGGTCCAAAAGTTCAAGACGAACTGTTTTCGATTTTGCTCAGATTTAGAATGCACAAATATGTTTTAAAAACTGATGTGGAAAAAATGTAGCGTCAAATATGGGTTAACAAAGATGATCGAAATCTGCAACTCATAATGTGGTGAGAAAATCCCACAGAACCACTTAATTATTATCAGTTGAACACAGTTAATTATAGCACAAGAGCAGCGCCATATTTAGCAACACGCTGTCTAACAAAATTGGAGGATGAATATCAAGGAAATTATTTATATGGCGCCACATCTTTAAAAAAGGATTTTTATGTTGACGACGGTCTCATAGGAGCTGAGACCATCAACGAAGCGTTACTAATTCAACAACAATTAATAACAATTCTAGACAAGGCTGGAATGAAACTAAAAAAATGGTGTGCAAACAACTCAAAACTTTTACATGGAATCGCTCCAAAAGATCAAGAAGTAAATGTCAATTTTGATTCCAAGGAAACCCAATTCACAAAGACGTTGGGTGTTTTATGGTTACCAAAGTCGGATTCATTTCGTATCAAGGTTAACATTTTAGAGCATAGTCACACAACAAAACGATCTATGAGCTCCGATTTGGCACACATATATGACCCCTTGGGTCTTATTGGTCCACTCTTGGTCATCGGCAAAATTTTGTTGCAAGGAACATGGCAGCTAAAACTCGATTGGGATGATGATCTTCCGTCAGAAATACGCAAACAATGGACATCGTATAGAGAAGATCTGGCCTTGTTGGACAATGCAACAGTTGTGAGGCACGTATTCAGCAGTCAAGGCTACAGCCATGTTGAGCTGCATGCTTTTTGTGACGCCTCAGAAAGGGCTTATGGTGCAGCAGTATACATTAGAACAGTACAAAAGGATAAAACGATAAAACTTAATCTACTATGCTCCAGATCTCGTATAGCACCCATAAAATCTCAAACAATTCCACGACTAGAATTGTGTGCAGCGTTGCTAGCAGCAGAACTCATGGGAAGAGTTAAACTTGATTTAGGCTATCAAGACAAAGCAGCTTACTTTTGGACAGATTCACAAATTGTGCTTTCCTGGATAAACAATCATCCAGGCAAATTACTTGTTTACGTCGCCCACCGAATTGTAAAAATCCTTCGGTTAACAATTCCAGAACAATGGCGTCACGTCCCGTCAAAACAAAATCCGGCAGATATCCTGTCAAGAGGGCTTAAACCGCGGGAATTTTCATCTTCCTTCATGTGGTTATATGGTCCACTATTTTTATATCAGCCAAAGCCGTTGTGGTCAGCTCCCTTCAAAAGGGAATTAATTGTTGAAGATAACACGGTGGTGTTCGCTTTATCAACACAACAACCTACTAATGAGCATGCATGGGTCTACTTAATTCATTCAAGAAATTTATTTACACATGTCCAAAAAGTTGTTGGATATGTACTTCGTTTCACAAAAAACGCACGGAAACCAAAAGAATCAAAACCAGAGACCATGCAGCTTTCACCGATGGAGCTCGACGTAGCACTTAAGGTAATAATACGTCAAATCCAGGCCTCCGATTTTTCTGATCTGAGGAAAATGCTAGTTAAGGACGAATTTGTGCCAAAAACTCATAACCTCAGTTCTCTAACTCCGTTCGTAGATGAAGAAGGGGTAATACGTGTTGGCGGACGGCTAAGCTCTTCTGCAATTTAATTCCATTCATCAAATGATTTTACCAAGCAACGATCCACTAGTAAAGTTGCTGGTAGAAAAAATACATAAAGACAATTATCATTGTGGCGGCCAAGCATTGCTGGCACAAGTGAGGCAGCGTTTTTGGCCCCTCAAAGGAAAAAGCTTGATGAGAGCTGTAATACAACAATGCTTAAGATGCAGAAGAGCAAGTCCAATTGTGTACAATCAAATCATGGGAAATTTGCCTGGACACCGTGTGCAACCAGCTCGACCATTTCTCAGCACTAGAGTTGATTATTGTGGCTCAATATGGGTTCATTACAAAACAAGAGGCAAGCGTCCACAAAAGGCGTATATCGCTGTCGTTTGCTGTTTTGCAACCAACATCGTACACTTAGAACTTGTGACTGATCTGACCACAGATGCATTCATTGGAGCATTAAAACGCTTCATAGCAAGACGAGGACGCTGTAAAACATTATACTGCGACAATGCGACCAACTTCGTTGGAGCGAAAAACAAGTTGCAGGAACTGACTGACGTCATCAACGCTGATCGAGCGAGGGAATCAATTGCAGGAATGTGCAGTACGAAAGGCATAGAATTTCACTTCATTCCACCAAGGTCACCACACTTCGGCGGGTTATGGGAGACAGCAGTAAAATGTGCCAAATATTTGCTGGTCAAAAATGTTTCAACAGCATCACTTACATATGAAGAGCTTGAAACTGTCGTTATTGAAGTTGAAGCAGTGTTGTACTCATCAGATGCAAACGATTTGAACGGAATAACTCCAGGTCATTTTTTTATAGGTGAAGAAATCACTTCAAACGTTGATGTGCGTACACGTGACTCTAAAGAAAAATTACTTAAACGCTGGCAACTGGTATCAGAACTAAAACACAGTTTTTGGCAGCGCTGAACTAAGGAGTATCTAAGCGAATTGCAACAGCGCCACAAGTGGAAGGGTCCAATCACCAACATACAGACCAATACGACGGTAATCCTTAAAGAAGACAATGTCCCAGTTCTGCAATGGCCTTTGGGACGCATCATCAAGGTTTACAAAGGCGAAGATGGTTTAGTGAGAGTTTGTGACATTCAAACAAAAAAGGGAGTATTTAAAAGACCGGTGCATAAATTAGCTCCATTATTTCCTGAAGACGATAAATTAGAAGATCCAACCTTTGGAAAAATTACTGAAAGAAAAATCGAATCAGAACAGACTCAAGAAACTCCAAGGTCACCTCCCGTGTCGCTTATCGTAAGCATTCCATTAAATCGTATCAGAAAACCTGAATCATTAGTCAATGGGATAACTCCAACAAAACGATCATGTCTGAACCCTGGGTTGCTGCTCACCATTATTACTCTACTCAGTTTGCCACTTGCACTATGTAGTCCCGTCAATATAACAACCTTCAACAACAAACCTGGCATTTATTTTAAGCAGCTTAAACCAGTCAAAATCATGTCTGCTGATTGGAAAATGATTGTATATTTTGACCTTTCCCCATACCAACAACAAATGAGTATTTTAGCTGATGGAACAAAAAGGTTGAACAATTTATGCGACAAGGCATTGGATAACACTGCTTGCAAGGTATTACTCAACTATTTTGACCGTATAACGGAGGAAAGAATAGCAAGAGGAGCTATAGACATTGTCGGAAATTTTGCCAATTCATTGTTTGGTGTCCTCGACTCAAACTTGTAACGACCTTTCCGGCCCTTTCCACGGCCGGGGTATACTCAGCATATACCAGGGTTCAGTATAAAAATAAAATATATCTATTTAAACTAAGAATAAACAATTCAGGAGATTCTCAAAAAGAAAACTAATAAAATAAATAATACAGTTTATATAGTATATGCTTCATTATTACACACTAGATATATTTCAAAAAAAAAAAATCGTACAATACTAAGTAATAACATAAATAATACAATGCCTGTAATATACTTTATATAGGTATTTATACATACAAAATTCAATTACTTATATAAACAAAAAAAATTATATATAATATATATGCATAATATAAACACATGCTGTGGAATTCTTTGCTGCTGCTACATATCGCCAGCAACACCCAAAAATAATTGACCGTTTTAAAATGTGGTTGGCTTCCTTTGTAAGCCCACCAGTTTCTTATCGATGAAATGAATCTACCAAATGCAGCTCAAAATACACCTTCCTCAGTGTAAAAAAATTAACACAATACAGGGCTTGGAGTCACCAACTATACACTTGATTTTATTCCTTTATTTAAATGTTTGCGTTTATTACTTTTGTAGTTCACTAAGAATCCGCCGTTTTTAGTTCACTTTATATTTTTATTATTAATCCGCCGTTTGTAGTTCACTTTCTATTTGTCCTCAGAATCCGCCGTTTTTGTTCACATTATTTTTTTTTCTAACCATCCGCCGCGGAGTATCAACCGTACTCCCTCAAAAAACCACGCGACTTCCAAAACAACCAAACTGTTTTTTTTTATTTCGACTCCGTTTTTTTTTTCTCCTCTGGCCATCGAACTCAACTTTCCCCTCTTTTTTTTTTTTTCCTAACCTTGCGGTTTTAAGCTGCACTCTCAGCTTTGGTGAAAACGAAAATGTAAACACCAGTCAACATGTTATTTCTTTCACTGTTATTTTTTTTTGTTTGTTTGATTTCTTTTATACATATGTTTGTTGCCAGTGTTTAATATATATTTTTTTTTCATTTATTTATCAGAATAAAGATGAATATAAAAAAAATAAAGTTTGACTTGGCAACCCAAGAGGAATATATCAAATAAGTGCGCGCTCGGAAAAGTTTATTAATAAAAGTGAATTATATTGCAAAAAACTGGTTACAATTGGGTGGTAATAATAAATAAACATTCAAGACATTGCAACGCAATCAAGTGAGCGGTTAAAAGTGAAGATTAGTACAATCTTTTACAATTGAGACTTCTGCAGGCAAGATAGTGTTGCATTCAAAAACTGTAATCACCAATTGTAAATAAAAGTGCTGAAAATGAGTGGAACGTAAGACGAATTATACGTAGTAAAGCTCAGAGTGGTTTAAGTCTATGCTAACAAATTCTAATTTTTAAAAAAAGTATTAAGCTGCTATATATATATAAATTTTCTCATAGACTTTTAGGCGAAGCATCAAAAACTGAATTTAATAAAATTAAAGTACAACTTCAAAAATGTCATCAGCAGGAACACCAAATAAACCGAGTACGCTAGTTTCAAAAATACAAGTAAGAACCTCAGCAGCTAAAAGACCATTGACTGAACTTCCCCCAGAAGAAATAAACCAGGCGAAATCTACAATGCAAGTAGGGAATATGCATATAACAGAACTGATGGGGTTAATGAGAGCATCATTGGCTGACTTGTTGGATGAAAAGCTAAGCAACTTGCCAACAAAAGCTGATTTAAAGGTGATTGTGTCGGAAGTGGGCGAACTCTCTAGTAAGATTACAGAGCTAACGGCAGAGAATCGTGTGCTAAAACAGAAGGTGACGCAGCTCGAACAACAGCGCGAACGGGATGCACGTAATATTAATTATATTATAAACGCACGAAAACGAAAATCGCTTGTTATCAAGGGTTTGAAAAAAACTGACAATCCAACATTGTCGATTCGGAAATTATGTGCTGAAGTTCTGCACGTCGATGATGTGCAAATAGCTTCTGTAAGAAAAATATTTGAGAAACACGACAAAATAGGAGTCGTTGCAGAGTTTCAAGCAGAGCAGTGTATATTTAATATTTTCAACAATATTAAAAAACTCGCTAATACGGAAATCTCAATTGAGAGGGACTTAAGCACAGACCAACAATCAGATAAACGGGTCATGCTTAAACTAAAACAAAATTTGCGTGCTGTAGATCAAAGCCGTAATATAATAGTTAGAGAGGATCGTATGAAAATTGACAACAAATGGCTGTATTGGAATAAAGAAAAGGAGCTGAAATGCGGTAGCAGTAATGGAAGGGATGTACTGCAGGCACTTTATGGCAATAACCTGGAGTCAATAAATGTAACATATTGGGAGATTTTGCAAACAATTAATTCTCAAAAAAACTAAATAAAGACAATGTTGTCAGCTGTAGTTTAAGTTTAGATTCAAATTCAAAAGAAATGTTAAATATTTTAGCATTTAATGTAGCGGGTCTAATAAAGAAAGTTAATTACTGCGATTTTATAAATTATGTAAACTCATTTGATCTGTTCTTTTTATTTGAAACGTTCATGGAAAAATCCTTGGAGAAGATTGATAAAGTGTTTGAAAAGTATTTATTATGGTGGATTCCAGCAACTCGGGTCGCAATCAAAGGAAGAGCTAGTGGCGGTATGTTATATGAAATAAAGAAAAACTTAGCAGATAAAATGAATATACGATTTACACAAATATTGAATATGATGATAGTTAAGCTAAAATTTGAAGAGACACTGGCGTACATTATTCCAACATATATTAATTGCAACAACTGGGATGCGGATTTTAAAAACTTAAGTGATGTACTGTTCGAATTTGGGTGTGAAAATATATTAGTTGTAGGAGACTGTAATGCCAGAATTGGTAAGGAGCAATGTTTGGAATTTAACCCAACTTTACTAGCCAGTGGACTAAGTGCACAGCGCAAAGCTATGGACAACAAAGTAGATAGAAATGGCAGAAGACTACTTGAAATCTGCAATACGGTAAGTCTTACTGTGCTGAACGGAAGATGCGAGGGCGACAAAGATGGCAAGCATAAATTTCACAGAGGAACTATTGCCACCACGATTGACTATGGTTTAGGAGCGGGGATCTGGTTGAATAGAATCAAAAATTTCGAAGTGCAGGATTTTATTTACTCTGACCATCAGCCGATTACAGTAAGTGTCCACGCCGGGAAAAATATTTCGGAGGAAAATTCAGGTCTACAGTTGTTACCTAAACTATACTGGAACAAACGTATCGAGAAAATATATAATTTAACACTTAATCAACAAATTATTGAAGTAAATAGAGCGACAATATGCTCAACAAATGGAATTGAGTTTTTAATGGATTGTATAAATAATGCAGCAAAGCCTCTGCAACAAAAGCAAAAAACTGGCGTAAAACAAAACCAATGGTTTGACTCTGAATGTAAAATATTAGGAGATACATCTTTTCGATGGCTAAGAAGAGTTAAAAAAACAGGATTAAAGGAAGACATGACAAACTACAGTCAAGCAAATAAACGATTTAAAGAACTTCTACAGCATAAAAGAGCGACTTACTATAATGAGCTAGCTATCTCAATAGCTACAGTAAAGGACAGTAAATCCTTTTGGGGCAAAGTTCGAAAACTGAACGGAACGAGCCATATAAAAAATGCAAAGCTAGACGCACTGGAACTGAGTAAACACTTTGAGCGGATACTAAACAACAGCATACATAATGAGAGTTTAAGTTATGAGATGCCCATACGTGAAATGAGTGAACTAGATACAACGATTACAGTAGCAGAAGTCAAAAAAATATTGCACAAGTGTAAGGATAATAAAGCTCCTGGAGAGGATCGAGTACCCATGGAATTCCTTAAATATGCTTCGGATCTATTTATTGAAAATATGACAGCATCATTTAATTATATCTACAACAGCGGCAATGTACCTGATTCTTTTCGCAAGTCGATTATCTTCCCATTGTACAAAAAAAGCGACACAAAGAATCCAGAAAACTATAGGGGTATATCTTTTAACAATGCCATTGCGAAAGTATTTGCAAGTATTTTGAACGAGAGGCTACAAGAATGGTTGATAACCATGCACTGTTAAGTGAATTTCAATCAGGTTTCAGAAAAAAGTATTCAACTGTGGATAACATCTTTATTTTAACTAATATTGCAAAAATGTATATTGACAGAAACAAAAAACTTTATGTCTTTTTCGTGGATTTCAAGGCGGCGTTCGATTCAATACTAAGAAATGCGCTCTTCTATAAGCTTAGGAACTTAGAATTGTCAACAAAAATGATGCGGATTATTTGGAGCTTGTATCATGGTAGTAAAGCAGCAGTGTGGGATGGAAATATTATTTCTGATTGGTTTCTTACACAGTCTGGGGTTAAGCAAGGTTGTGTTTTAAGTCCACTTTTATTTACTTTATTTTTTGATGACCTGGTTAACCTTTTAAACGGTGGCATCATGATTGATGGCATGCAAATAAAGGTTCTGATGTATGCAGATGATGTGGTGCTGTTTGCAGAGTCACCAAGAGCCTTGCAGCTAATGATAAATAGACTGAACGATTACTGTAATACCTGGAATTTAGAAGTCAACATAGCAAAGTCAAAAATAATAATATTTAAAAAATATGCAAGGCGTCTTGCATGCGATGAAAAGTGGTACATTAACGGTAAATTATTGGAAGTAGTTAAGACATATAAGTATTTAGGCGTTTGGATAACATATAATGCAACATTCGAAACACACATTAATAAAAGGCTAAAAGAATCAAAACTAGCAATAAACACCACATGTAGAAGAGCAGTAGGAAATGATATGGGAGCTCTTTCAGGTAAATACAAAGTTTTCCAAGCTGCTGTCAACTCAATTATGAATTATGCTTCCCAAGTTTGGGGTTTTGAAAAATATAATGAGGTGGAAAAACTGCTGACTTATTTTATCAAACGTATTTACCTGGAAACGGGCTTATCAACACTACATATCGGCACTTTAAAATTCCATTTTCAATATATTAACGCTGTTATGAAACACACAGATAACAGGCTTACCAAACGGCTTGCGACATACTTTTTAGTTAGAAGGAGTTCGTATTTTGCGACATGGTTAAATTTAGCCGAGGAACATGAAAAAAATTTGAATTTAGAGGACATGAATCGTTGGATTGACTGGCAGCAGCGCATTCTCCTAAAACAGGATCAAAGTGATAGAGACCGATTTGTTTATAAGGCCAAAACAAGCTACTCTAGACAAACATACAGAGAACTAACTTACAATCTGGGGAAAATGAATTATTTTAATGATAAATATACTGTGGAAAATATTCGTTCAATTTTCAAATCTCGTACTGAACTCATCAAACTCAATTATTTACCCTACGTAAGTGGTGCACTATCTGTTTGCAGCCTATGTAATAAACAGGAAACGGAAAACGTTAAACACTTTCTCGCAATTTGCCCAATTTTAAAGGAAATAAGATACAAGTATTTTGGGAAAATTACTTTGAGCCAAACAGAATTGCATGGTATCCTTAATGGAATGAACTGGCTAAATTTATCCGCATATCTTAATCAAGCGATAAAATATAGGCAACAAATTATAGATGAGATCTTTTAACCGCACTTATGTATGCACACCAACAATATATACTAATTATAACATCAAACTCACTACAAGATTAGAGGGATTAGAAAAATCGGCAATCGCTAGGTAAAGCTGACGACATTAGTCATAGCTTTAAGTAAAAAAAGAAAAAAAAAAATGTATAAAGTATGGATAATGATTGTATGTTTTTTAAATTATTAATAAAGAAGAACTAACAACAACATAAAAAAAATATATCTATGAAAAAACTGTAAGATCAATTTTGTTTTGACAAAGACCAAAAAAAATTGATCATTACAAACTACGCGGCACAAATGTCAAGCACAATAAATGGTCTTAAAAGGAACGACAATCACCTGGAACAACTCGTTAAAAACCAAACGTCACTTGTTGATTCAACTATCAATATCTTTAAGAAGAACCAATTAAACATGCATGACAAATTTGAAGAAATTGAAAAGCGCATCAATAACTTGTTGTATACAGATGAGTCAATAAACGACATACACGTAACACAAAACATGCTTATGTTGTCAATGCAAATGCTCATGATGGTATCCAACCAGCAAAGAGTTCACTCATCAATTATGGACGTACTAATCGACAGTCATCACGATAAAATAAATCCTCTTCTGCTGACTCCACAACAGCTTAGTGAGCAAATAATGATGATTAGAGCACATCTTCCATCACACCTACAGTTACCTATCCACCACAATAACTTACTCGAAGTATATAGGCTCATGAAGATCAACGGAATTCTGGCAAAGGGCCATGTAATTTTTTGCATCGACTTACCTCTCACGGATCCAACAGAATTTCAACTATTATATCTTGTTCCAATTGTGGCAGCTCTAAATAACACACTTTTATCAGTGAAACTTTCAACAGAATTTCTAGCCATCAGTCCGCATCATGATGAATTTCGACCAATGACACAGCATCAAGTGGACGCATGCATATCGACAAGTGACGAAGAGTAATTATGTCCAAACATACAAGCAACATTTCATGAATCGTCAAACGTCAATAATTGTGAAATTGACTTTTTTAACAATCAAGCTGAACCAAGATGCGATATGTATCAGCTCAAGGACACAACTGTATGGTATCAACTAAATCATCCGAATCAATGGATTTACGCAACCATAAATAACATCAAAATGAATGCAGTATGCAATAAGAAAGCACTTCAATTAACTTTAGTGGGCAGTGGTTTGATTAAATTAGAACCTGAATGCATCATCAAAAATGAACACATTACGATTCAAGGTCATCAAAAAATGGTTACTTCACTGTAGGCATCGATCACTATATTGAACCTATCTGTAGGATGGACAAAACAATATGTGAGCAATAACATCAGCGTCAAACCATTGTCACCCTCAATCCATGAGCTTGAACTTATTCAACGAAAATTAGGCCACATCCAGAGTTCCAGTTTTCCAACTGATGCTATTAGTCCAGGGACACATAGTCTAATAACCAGCTACGTTGCATTAAAAATGTTTATATGTATCGCTAGTGCACTATTATATATATGGCGAAGGCAAAAAATCACCCATCAAACACCTCCAATACCGATACCACGACATCAACAGATGACCGAGGATACAGCATGTTGACTTGCAGCTTTCAATAATTAGAATTGATGTTTTCAATTCAAGGCGGGCAGCAGGTTCACACATTTAATTATTATTATTGTAAAATTGTATTATCTATATATAATTACGCTAACATAAAAGTTTGTTACCCCGTTTTAACTGTGTTGCCGTTGACATATATGGATAAAATTTATACCGTTGGAAAGGTGAAGACGTGCAGAAGAGCACAACGTTATTTTTTCGCATGTACGTTAACGGAAACACAGGTAAAAATGCGTTGGCGTAAATTTAGCGACTACAACAACAAAATACATGTGTTTTTCAAAGTTTTTTTTTGTGACGAATTGTTAATTGTTTACGGTGGATTTGTGTGTGCGATTTTTTTCCACTTTTGGAAAAAAGTGGACTTTGTGTGTTTGGACTTTGTGTGTTTGGACTTTGTGTGTTTGGACTTTGTGGATTCTGTTACAATCAGATTTTTAAAGCTCATTAATTTCAAATATTGTTTGTGAATAAAAAAAACGCATTGAAGTGGAAATATCCTTTGATATCAATCGTTTTATTTGCATTGTGTGATAGTTAAATTTTAATTGTGATAAATTTTAATTTTGATAAATTTTAATTGTGATATATTTTAATTGTGAAATGTGGATAGTTAAGGTTAATGAGTTTGAAATTTTTAGATTTATTTCAAGTGTATTGTGTGATAGTTAAATTTTAATTGTGATGAATTTTAATTGTGAATTGTGTGATAGTTAAGGTTAATTAATTGGTTGAATCGACATTAACAACACTTCAATTCGAGAGATATTCATTTTGTACAATGAAAGAACATTATGATAGAGTATGCAATGCACAAAAGAGATTTGTATGGCAATTATCGTGAATCGTGATACAGATATACGAAGATATAATATTTACGACTATAGATGGCGAACCACCATTTGAGAGAAATATGATATCTTTTTTAAAAACAAATGGTGTAGTTAAGAATGTATTAGTATTAGATTCTGCTTTGGAACCATTGGCATATCCTTTACTATTCCCAAATGGAGATTTTGGTTGGCACGTTAATATATCGCATAACGTACAACATAATTCTAATGGTAGGCAGATTCGAAATAAAGTTACAATGTTACAATTTGCATGCTTCAGATTTGCAATAAGGGATCAATTTAGCTTTTTGCATAAATCGCAAAAACTATTTTTGCAATACATTGTTGATATGTATGTGAGAATAGAAGTATGTCGACTACATTTTATAAGACAGAATCAAGTAAATTTGAGGGCAGATGTGTATAACAATATTAGTGATTATTTGCAAACGAATCAAGTAGGAGATGGTAGCTTAGGTCGTAAAGTGATTTTGTCTTCATCCTTCACTGGGTCTCCGAGAAACATGTATCAAAATTACTTAGATGCAATGTCAATTGTTCAGTACTTCGGCAAGCCATCGCTTTTTGTTACAATGACTTGCAATCAGAATTGGGCGGAAATTGTATATAATATTGATCCTAATGAATCATCTCATTTCAGGCCTGAAATAGTTGTGCGTGTATTTAAATCGAAGTTAAAAGAACTCATTTCTGACATTTGGAATAAATATATTTTTGGCAAAGTTGAGGCTCTTATATATACAATCGAATTTCAAAAAAGAGGTTTGCCTCATGCTCACATTTTGATAACTTTATGTGAAAATGACAAAATTGTCGGGCCGGCTGATATTGATAAAATAGTTTGTGCAGAGATACCGGATAAAAATTTGCAGCCAAAATTACATGAATTTGTTGTCAAACACATGATGCACGGTCCTTGCGGTGTTTTGAATCCAAGCTCTGTATGTATGCAAGATGGAAAATATTCAAAACAATTTCCAAAGGATTTT